TTTTCTTCTTAAAATAATTTGTATGCGTACCTTTTGTATGAACCATTAGTATTACATTAAAGCTAGTTAGTTAATTTGTTTAAGCACTGTCAATACGTTCATTTCGTTTAACCGCCTGTATAACTGCATCTCACTCCAACCTGCTCGAACCTCTTTCTCGTCTCGCGCCGAGAGACTCCGACGAGCCATATCCACGCGTAGAAAGTTAGGTTGTTACAATTTCTAATCTGATTTTACGTGTAACCGGGTGATTAATGCTTTTATCACTTTATAGTAAATTATAGTGTTACATTTTTTCTAGTAAAAAATATTTGTTTATTAAAACGATTAACAAAGCATTCTAATTTTCAGAATTGTTTCAAAGGTATTGTTTCAAAGTTGGAAAATGCATAAAGTTATCCATCAATCAATTGGCAAGTAAGTATCTTGTGTGCATATCGTTTATTATCTCTACGATTTTTTGTTATTAAGTGTAATACATTGTACACATTTGTGCATAATTAGAGGGAGAAAACGGAAATAAAATTTCTGACACTTATAATGCTTGGCCTACTTACAATTATACTGGAAAATTACAGCCATACAAAAAAGAACAACGTAGAGAGGTTCCTGAGGGTATGAGAGTATCGCTCAACCAAATTATGCCTTACATCCAGCTGGGATACCACTCAGAGAGCAAGCTGTAAAAGATTCTGGCCAAATAAAAATTCTTGATGATGAAAAAGTCGAAGGCATGAGAGTTGCATGCAAGGTATAGTATAAATATATGTACTCACTGTGCTGAAATAACATGAATACAATAGAGAGAGAGAGAGAGAGAGGGGCGGGAGGGAAGGTTGTTGCTTTTTGTTTTTAACATGTTGAGATTCTCATAGATTCTAGATTTTCTTTTTTTTGTTTTTAACATATTCCAAATTAAATTTTGCATAGCTTGGTCGAGAAGTCTTGGATGAAGCTACAAGACTTGTGACGTTGATGTTACAACGTCTGAAATTGATAGAATGGTGCATGAAGCTTGTATTGAAAGAGATTATTATCCATCGCCATTAAACCAGTTGTTGTACTTCTGTCAACGAAGTAATTTCCCATGGTATGCCTGATACCAGACCCTTACAAGATGGCGATATTTGTAATGGTAAATAATTTGTCAATATTATATAAAAAAAGCTTGGAAATTTTAACTTTTTCCCACAGTTCTCAAACTTATTTTAAAGAGTATTTATAAAAATGCTCTTATTTTAAAAAGTATTTATAATTTTTTAAATATATTTTGTTCGCAACACCGTTTTTCTACAAGACTTGGAAGTTTATTGATTATTATCCCTTTTTATCGTACAGGAAACAAAAGTTTCCGGATACTGTATGCAGGAATTCCTCTATTTTTTCTTTTTTCACTACTACTTTTTGCCAACATGTTTAGATCAGTGTCAAATTATTTATTAGCATCAGTAACGTTAAATTGTTTCAACAAACTAATGGACTCTCCAAATTTAAACCTTGTAAGCATACATAAAAGCAAGTGAAAATAAATAACTGTAGAGATCAATTAATAATTATAAAATTATACATTTACATTTTTGTTACATTTATAACTGTGTGGCGCAATATTCGATCGAATGTTTCGGCTAATTTAAATTTTAGTAAATAATCATTATCGTTTCTTATAATGATTTGGAATTTACTTAGATACTTAGAAACTAATAAACGATCGTACTCCTCAAACTGTAGTAATAATAGAAGAGATGTTACCCGTCTATATTTGAGGAATTGATTTTTCTTTGAACACGAGTTTCTAAACCTTTTACTTTTTTAATAGTACATGTACCGCTGACGATGGCTGGAAATTAGTCCGTCGAGATCCGATTGAATGTTACATCATAAGTATAACGAAATTGTTATTTTTTTTATAATTACAGCGCATAGTTATTTACTCTCGCTCGCTTTTATGTATTTAATTTGTAATAGTACATATTTTACAGCTTCAATTTATAAGACTATGTACAAGATTACATATATGATATTGATCATGGAAAATTTTCCGTTATCTGGAAAACTGGCAAACCTGATTATAAGAAAAGTGTCTCTCTCTTAAACATATCAAAGATATCACCTAATTATTGTTTCTTTCCAATTGATGTTACCGTATATCACAATAGTTTTTACAGAGATTTGGATGAAACCTTTTTGGTGGATAATGTAAAACCGGAAATAAAACAGTTGGTAGAAGTGACGTATGAATGCTTGTCTAAAGCTATTGATATTGTAAAATCTGGTAAAAAATACAGAGAGATTGGTAATGCCATACAAAAGCATTGTGAACATGGAATCCATCGTTTATTTTATACCGCACCAAATGTACCACATTAGACTAGTAAGTAGCTTCCCCAAAATAAAGTTTATTGTGCCCTTTCGATCAAAAAGTTATATAGATCACTTGTAGTTATAAGTTATTCGATTGTAATAATTACTTTATACTTTTACGTTTTATATTATCAAACACGTCTCATTTTGCTGCATATTTTACTATTTTTCAAAATTATGAAATTGTTTTTAAGAGAAAATTAAATCACTTTTCAAAACTCTTGACTATGAAAATTATAATAAGCGAATTAACTATTTAAATATGAAAATGGAAATTTTTTGCAATTTTCGCAATAGTTAACAAGATATTAATTAAAAATTTCTCAAACATTATCAACTTTATAAAAAAACAGCAAGAGACAAAAATTATTTAAAAATTTCTCAAATTTCCTTTCGTAAAACTCTAAATATTTTTTTAGATTTTTCATATTGTGAGAAAATACGGTATTAAATCAGTTTAGTCTGCTCTACCTGCGAGCGTTGTCGGGTGAATTACGGAACACTCTGTACTAAAAGTCTAACGAGATCTAAGTTTGCAATAAAAAAAATATAAAGACGGTACAAAGATTAATTTATGAGCAAAATATTAAGTAAAAACAAGTTTATTATAATGTTAATCGAAAATAAATTAATTAAAACTAATAAACTTGTTTTAATACATTTTTACTTAATATTTTGCCCATAAATTGACCTTTATATTTGCATCACTAGCGTCTGCAAAATAGTCGTTCGCCGGCAAAAAATATGAAAATTACAGGAATGGAAAATAATGTTATTTTTGGAATTGTCAGTGCTCAAAATTCATAGCATACAGATTTTCTGTGACTACGATTATACATAATCAATTTATACCGAAGTTATAACATTGATATTATGAAACTGGCCAATCACAATCCTTCCATTTTTCAGAGAAATATCTATTATCGGAATAAATCGAGTCGTGTAAATAAAAAAACGGGATGCCAATTCTCTTCACTGATAGATCCGTTCCGTCGATTCGATCATGAAGACCAAAACGACGATATCAGAAAATAAAAAACAATAATTTTTTTTCAAATCCATCAAATTTAATCTGTAAAATTTATAATGTTTGAGAAACCAATATTCGTTTTTAATGATTAATATCTTGTTAACTATTGCGAAAATTCACTTATTGTAATTTTCACAGTTAAAAGTTTTAAAAAGCGATTCTGCACGTCCGAAATTGGGGAACTAAACGCAGGATAATTCTTATATGTTTATAAAAAACATTATTTCTTGATAATAAGATACAATAATTTTTTTTCAAATTCCATCAAATTTAATCTGTAAAATTGATAATGTTTGAGAAACCAATATTCGTTTTTAATAATTAATATCTTGTTAACTATTACGAAAATTCACTTATTGTAATTTTCACAATTAAGAGTTTTAAAAAGCGATTCTGCACGTCCGAAATTGGGGAACTAAACGCAGGATAATTCTTATATGTTTATAAAAAACATTATTTCTTGTCAGACATTTAATTTTCTTTTAAAACAGCAAAATAAGATATATGTTTGATATAAAACGTAAAAATGTAAAGTAATTACTAATGGCACGCTTTATAAAAAAAAATGTATGATTCAATTCGAAACAAGGAAGACTAGGCCAGTTGGTTGGATCAATAACCTTTTGCTTTCCACACGTATTGTGTGTGACTTTAAAGAATTTTAATGAATGAATCATTACTATACTCGGTATCGCTATACATTATGCATACACTTACGAAACAATAAAAAAAAGAATAAAATTGAGTGAGATTCTGCAATTAATAAAGTTTGAAAAGCGATATCTAAACAAATCTTTCAAGTCACGCACAATAAGTGTAGAGAAAGCAAAAGTGAGTTGATCCAACTAGTCTTCCTTGTATTCTAAATTTACGGAACGTGTGTGACTTTAAAGAATTTTAATGAATTTGTTTAGATATCGCTTTTCAAACTTTATTAATTGCAGAATCTCTCTTAAGTTTACTCTTTTTTTTTATCAATACGTAAATGTATGCATAATGTATAGCGATATATATACAGGGTGGAGAAAAAGGTTGTGGCATAACTTTGCAGGATGGTACTACAGGTCAAGGTGAACATAAAAGGTCCTATGAACATAGGAGATGTTGACGGTTTTTCGTATGTTGAAGGAGATTGCTGAAAAAAATTTTAATATTATTGATTTTTAAGTTTGATTGAATAAATGTATGTCAGAAACGGCACGTAATCTTCCTTTTAAGAACATAATAATTTCGTAATCTTAAAAATCGATAAAATAGATAGCAAATTTAGCTGTGAAAAACTGTTGCGATATCGATGCGTATTTATTTAATAATTACTTTACACTTTTACGTTTTATATCAAACACATGTCTCATTTTGCAGCATATTTGAATTGTTATTAAGACAAGAAATAATATTTTTTATAACATGTAAGACTTACCCTGCGTTTAGGTCCCCAATTGTAATGAGCTGATGACATTTTATAGAGAAAGCGCATGAAGCGATCCTGTTGAACTTGTGCACCTGCTCTGGTACCTCTCTTTCTTTTTTGTACTGATTTCGGACATGCATAATCGCATTTAAAAACTTTGGACAATAAGCGAATAAGTAATTTAGTAATTTTTAGTAA